AATCCAACGAAACATACTCAAAAACCCATTACGAAAGACACTTTTTAAAGCAATCACCCCGTAAATTCTGTATCATAATTTACCTCATCATTTATTAATTATGGTATCGCCACTTTTTATAGGTAGTTTGTTTTAAATTAACGTAAGCATAAAGCATCACTCTGTCTCCATGCAAATAATGGCTGTCGCTGAATACAAACATAATCATAAACAATGTAAAATAGGCTACAATGAAATCAATTAAAGTGTACCCTTTGCACTCAATTCTTATAATCAAAGTACACAGTGTATGAAATAATCATTTACTTAAATATATCGCGAGACATTTTTTTAAGCAGGTCACTTGCACTTTCATTGCGTCTAAGTATATCATGCTGAAGATTGTGTCACAAAAAATAGATGATATGTGTTACTAATATCTTTTGCAAAGTAAATATTGATTGTAATCCGTATTTTATTGCAACCAAATGCACCGTTATACCAGTTATCGTGTATAGTTTGTTTCAAATTCTTGCTCATTTTGCAATGAAGCTGGATTTTCGTTACGAAAATCACATTTGGTGTATACTTATACATTCCTACATAAGTACGAGTATATCTACCAGGGACGTTTGATTTTAATAAAGTACTACTAATACACTAACAAAGGGAAAGAATTTTATACTGCCACGAAGATCAATGACACATGCATCATGGAAAACAGAGTGTTTGCACAACACCTCTTAGCCTGAAATATGCGCAGGATGATATAAATATTTACACGACATGCAAAAAAGGTCAAATGTCTGCACGTTAGTATAAGTTTGTCGAAATTCGAAAGTTAAAATTTTATTACATGCCTATCAATAAGTACAACTAAATTCAGAATTTTTTTAGGTTATCGAGATAAAGCTCTTTATGTGTTTAACAACATTGACGAACAGATTATCCCATAAGACTATTAAAAAATGTGCCAAATTCTTGACAGAATAGCTTCCTGGCTCACACTCAAAGTCGGACTTTTGGAAGGGTGTCTTCAAAAAATGGCAAGTGTAGGGAAAAAACCTCGGAAAAAACGTTTCCACGAAACTAAGAATATTCAATAAAAGTGTATATTTCTATTTGAAAAAACTGTTTGCCCTACACTTGACCTTTAAGAGACAGTTGTCCATATAAAGAATATTTAAATGCCTCATTTTTTTATATCCCCGCTAGTTTCTGCAATAATTAATTGTCTATAGATACATGTAACACCCTGTACATAAATTAATCAAGTGACATTTTACGAAACGATAGTCGCAAAGTTTACCGCAACTCACAAAAGAATTGAACTCTACACCCCAATTCATCTGACTTATGCAGACACGGTTAAACCACAATAAATCATTTCCTGAAAGTGATATGGTAAAAATGCTTGCTTCAAAAGTATCGTACACAACCCGCTACTTAATACCCGGACGACACGAAATTAACTTTTAGAACTTCTACGGGCGACGACATTTTTTGAGGTGCTTAATACTTACACCCTGTAAATAAATCATAATAACTATACTTTCTTAAATAGATACTAAATACATGAAACCGGGGGAGGCGAATTTACGGACGGAGAATGGACGCGCGAGTAATTTAGATGTTAAAAACAAACAGCAAGAATTCTGAAAAGGAAGCCTTTGAGGATCTACGCGTAGTATGTATTTTCAGAGCATTTATCCTTTTTTATTTACTGCAAATGGATTGCAGCCAGAAAAGCTTGAGATGATATAATATTTTTAAGCATACTACCTCGCTTACCACTCTCAAGATTGAAGCTTTGGTTTACAAAAAAGTATCATGAAAACAGTCTAAAATGTATCATTTCTTCCATTTTTCACCACAATGGCCCAACTAAATTCCACGCTACTGAATACTAAAGAATTTTCAAAAAATACCGATAAACATCAGAGGATTTCAGAGTGTTTCTAAAATATTCCTGATATTTTAAGTATTTTTAAATATATTTTTTGAAAATACTACTTACGTTTTTTTTTGTGAAATTTCATTTTACGTATAGACAGCGTACAGTATGAAAAAGGGTGCAAAGTTGGCCCTTTTTGTGACTAAACAAACGCTTTCGAAATTTTAGAAAACTGTAGGGGGAAAATATATTTGGTATTCACAAGTTTTGGTTTAGTTTAGCCAGTAACGGAGAGATCACAAAATTAAATATCTGCTTGTTTGTCTGGTCTATACATAGATATAACCTCGGATATAACATAACCAAACTAGAGACACTGCTCCACTCATTTTTCAATAATTAGTCACAAAAACTACAACGTAACCTACGCTGTATCACTTACCGTTAAGGAAATCCCAATGAGTTACGAATTGTAACCCCCCCGTATGCACACTGTTCCGTAGCCTTTTTTTACAATTAACAATTACAATTTCTTTTATAAAAGGAATTAATTAAGGAATTAATTATAAGCCCTTTAACAACAGTACTAAAAAGGCTTAATTCCATGGGATTTAATTCGCCAAATAGAATTAAATGACGAATTAATTCCGGCCCAGCTCCGGCAGCTACAGACTATTACTTTCTTGTTTCTTGTGGGCGCGATATTGGATTTTTTACAGAATGAGATAGATAAAAAAAGAAAAATGATGACGTCACACTCTACAGGCAGTAGAATTGGTTTACGCACCATAAGTATTTCAATGGTGATTTCTTTATATAGAAATATTTTCTCGCCTAATCATTTTACGGAAAAGTTATAAATAAATTGTTTGTAGATTGTAAATTTCGACCACGCTGTATACTTTTACATAAATTTACAAGAAAAATGATTTATATTCACTTCGGCCATTTCTCAACAAAACATCCTTCGAAAAAAAATGCCCATAGAAGCTGCTAACGACAATCGTCCTTTCCGATTGATTAAACAAAGGAAAATTAAAATGACATTCGACATTTTCAGTTTATCGGTGATCTGTTACTTTCAAACATTTTTCAAAAATGTCAAATGCGGTTTTTAGGCTAAAAAAGGAGCATTTTTGCCCCATTTAACCTACAGTGTAGGTCTTTCACCGTTAAGGAGATCACAACGGTGAGCTACGAATTTGAATCACAATACATTTTTCAAAGATTTCCCTTTGGTTGAAGTTATAAAAGAGAACCTACTGCAGAAATAGATCCGACGATGAACTGAATTCCATTACGTATTCTGGTATTTCTCAAAGTGTAAGAATTTTATTTTTGAAATAGAAACCCCTTTTTTTCTGTTCAGTAACTACCTAGTGGATTATAAATTAAAAAATTGGAAGAAATTATTCAATTATATACATTCATATAAAAGGAACGGTTTTTGTAGAAATCGGAACGAAACGAAAATTTGTGCAATTACATTGTTAATTACTTATACTACTACAAGATACGAAGAATCGCATACAATTTTCAGTAGGAATTTTTTGTCACTCCGCTCGTATTCGGAAACCAGACTTTTAATCCGGCTCATATTCAATAGCATTGATCCTTGCACTCGTAGCAATCGATTGGCGGAGGCTGTTTCTTTTCGTTCTCGAGTCAGACGAGGACCAGACGGATAAAACTATTGAAGGGAATTTTTTTCTTTCGAAAAATTCGAGGAAAAATTCCCCTAAAAATCGTTCGGTTTAATTCTATGTGTATTCAATTTAGCCCAAATTTGAAAAAAATCAAATACACAACAAGGATTAGAATTCAAAAATCATAATTGAACAAGAGAAGAATAAAAAAATAGGATGCGTAGTTAGGCCAGTTTTTTTCCAAAATACAAAGACCATATCAAAGTCGACTTGTAAAACTGCAAATGTTCCCCATTGAAATCGCGTTTCTATCTCCGTTGATCCGTACGCTTATCAATAGGAAAAAAACCTGTTCGAGTCGAGGTTCAAGTAGGTATTATGTAAATCAAACGTAATAATCTAATAATAAATATAAATCTGCCGATTGTGGGCTCTTTTGTATAGAAACGTAAACTAACATTCGTAGTGTACCAAATAAAAAATCGATTTTTGATGTTCCAAGCATAATTTAAAGAAAAACGAATTATGGTCCTCTTGACCAAGATAATAAAAAATAATCCACCCCTACCTTGACCTATAGTTCGAGCGGTTTATAATGGATTTTTATAAAATTGGAAAAGTGGTCCCTCGAGACAATTTAAATATCAATATTATTCTTGCTTTTTTAAGTATTTGACCAAAATGGTGAAGGAATTTTATGAACATTAAAGAGTTCTGCTATTAAACGGACTTCAATCGTAAACTTTCAACCGTTAACGACCTCTATATGCAATTTAAAGATGCTGAGACGTTGATTATTTGTAGCAAAAATATAAAAGTAAGCATGTATTTTATTAAGCAGTTTGTCTGTTCAATAAAGAGAACGATGGTAAGTATAACCGCTATTTACGTAACAAGGGCGCTTACCGGCTTACGACCACCAGTAGTTCATGCAGGCATAATTTAATTTTTCTAAATCCTGTGTTATTTAATGATGTGAAACACAGAATTATTTAGTGGCGCGAAAGGAAAATGACACCGTTCTGGACGAATATGCACGTTTAATTTCACTTAAAAGTATGTTACGGGAACAACTTAACTTATGCATGATTTTGTAATAGTCCAGTTCAAGTCGATTTTTACTGTTTTCCTCGAGACCTGTCCACTTCCACGAGGACTAAAATGGCAATGGCAAGGTACGGTACATTTATAGGCAAACACAACGAGGCGACTTACTACACTAGACGAAGACGACCTTTCCGTGTAAAAACGGTAGTGGACTTAAAATACCTTAACATCATCATTATTTATGCTTTAATTATGCAGCAACTTTCGTATAGCAGTTTTTTGCTAAAGTAAGTATTGAATTTCGACTGTCAATGTTGATAGTCAACATGCATAACCTGTTACACAACTGCAATTTGTTCGTGTCGCAATGAAATGTCGGGCAATGTGACATTCTTATCTTATCAGATAAGGGAATTAAATGAGTAGAAACTTACCGACGGTGGTGCCAACGAGACCAGTGGTGGTCGAAGGTGTAGCTTCCACAGACGTCGTTTTTCTTATAGTAGATATACCGACGCCTCCGCTTCCAGAGCATTGGGAGGACGCCGAAGAGTCGCAATCGAGACTTCGCTCCATTACCTGAATGGGCGATGGGCTTTTATTTGGCATGCCCAAAATGGGACCCGAATGCGTTCTCATCAAGGCTTCGTCCTGAGCTTGTGCCCTTCGTAGTGCCGTTTGCATGGCCATAACTCGCTGCCTCTCCGACGTCAGGCGACACTTCTCGCACTTACAGGAACGATATTTGCAATATCTTTTATGACCTTTCAAGGCAATTTTCATTCGATGGTTTCGGCAACGTGCGCAATTTGGCGGCGTTCGCGGGGAGGCAGAAGTGCTGGATGCGTTTAGATCCATTTTTGCATCGTAATCTTGACTATCCGACATTATGTAATTGCAAGTTCTATTTCATGCTCTTCAAAGATTACACTTATCACAGAAAAAATTGGGGGCACTGTTCACTTTCAAATTAGACGTTCGATAGTTTGTGCAAATGGAAAAGAGAGCAAGTTACGCGAACCGGAAAACTACAATAAATCAGCCAAAAGCGCGAAAAGCGTGTGCATCGGGCGTCGCGTTTGAAAGCGCAACAGGTTGAGAGTTTCTCTATGCAACGAGATTATAAAAGTAGGCTTGCAGGGCAACCGTCGGTTTCACGCGACGACGACGCTTGACTTCCACACTTGCGATATTTTAAACGCGAAATCAACTGTCAGTCTTGCAATGCCAAAGTGAAGTGAGTTGGTGCAGGATTGCATCAAACGAGGGGCAAAGGGCATATCATTTACGACTTTGGCAGTGGGGGAAATGCATGTGCGGAGTGCAGTTTAGAGTTGTGTTTTATGTGGTAATAACTAAAGGAAGCGAGTTTTGATGGAAGGTATTCGGTAACAACTTCTGTTGCAATTTGCCAAATACCACGCTGGTTATATTAGCCGTTTATGATACCTCCCCGTTCTATTTGTTATATTCCGCATTGTTCTTTATGGATCGTCGTACGAACATTTAAATGCATTTCCTTGGCGAAATGACGTCTCCTTAATCTCCTGAATTTAATTATAATCTTAATGCCGGACATTTGTAAACAATATCCTCTCGATTTTGTTTTAATTAATTATTATTAAACTATTATGTTATAAACCCGAGATTATTTGTCCAAGCTGTGTATAATTAAACATGAAGGTTGTTGACTTTGCAATAAATTTAAAATAATCTCTATCTAATCATTGACAATTTTTTAACAAATAATTTTCTTTCTTCTTCAGGACCAACAGAAGCTATTAGTCTGACGCCAAAAATGAATCTGGTGGAGTTACAACATGGACTTTAAATAGCATGAACTGGAACTCCATTCTCTGATCAACACCATGTGCTTTTTTTACCGGGAAGCAGTATGAATCGTAAAACCCGATAACAAAAAACTAGGCTGTGCTGTTGCATACAAATCTGCCCGACTAGGGTCAGGGTTAGACGACCGTTTATTAAACTGACGTCGCGACGCTAGTTATTTAAAACCCGGTGTTTTTGTCATAGTCACCCCAGCGGTCAGTTGCAAACGTTGCAGCAAACCATCGACATGGATGACCAGTTAGATCCACGATTCTCAAATTTTTGAGGGTCGCGGTAGGTACAGGACAGGCTAAATAATTTGGATTTCAATTCCGATTTCAACAAAATGCAAAGTGCATAAGAAAGTTGTGACGGAAAACTTACATAGTTAGCCAGAGGATTTTTTAACATGTAAACTACCGGGGCAATTGTAGTGCGCTCATTTACCCATGTAGTTTTTAATTTTTTTAATGCAGAGTTGGGCATGTATATGTAGCGCAATACTTATTTCTCTGTAGTAGTAGGTATTCAGTATTTAATCAGAAATCAACCGCGTTTAGCCTAAAATAACAAATAGGTACCAGGTACCTATGTAGTCATTGACGACAATAACAACTTTAAAAACCGCAGTGTTTATCTATTTTATTTTACTACTTCTAGGTACTTACCTACCTACAACCAACTTATTTTTTCGAGGGTTTTGTCGGCTATCACGCTTTAAACTTTAAAGCATTATTAAAGGGACCTTGTCAGCAGTAATAACTAAGAACTAAAATACCGCACTATTCTGCGGTTTCAGGTTTCATTTGTACAATGAATATCTCACAACGGATGTTTAGTGCATAAATTAAATCCCATGATTTTAACAGTACATATTCCCTCGGCTGCCGGACTTCGACATCGTCAATCAGATCTTTTGACTGTAGTTTTGTACATTGCGAACCGAATGCGATCTTCCAAGTGGCAGAATTTTTACAAAGGAAGGATAGGCGTTACAGGGAACAGGGGACAGAAAATTCATTAGAAAATTTTATAAAGGAGCAGGTCTCCAAGCACATTACTGAAATACATTCATTTAAAGAAATTCTTAATTTGTTTATTGTTTTTGCTAATTGATAGCTCTTATGGTCTATATTTGCCCGTTACTAATCATTTACAGTTGTGTTACGTGTAACGAGTGAATTTTGAACATTTTGTTAAAATTTGAAGCGTTTGAACTTCGTGACCATGGGCCAAAAGAATTTTCTTATCGATGCTTTACAATTTTAAACTAATTGTAAACCCTTTTAAGCACTTACTTTTATTAATGATAAGCTATTTCTTATTTTGAATTATTCTAATTCCCACTTCTATTCCAAGTTCACGTTAAACGTAATATTTTTCTTTTTATAAATTAAAAAGTAATACCATGCTTTGTTGGTCACGTTAAAAACACCACATACATCTACTGTAGCAGAAACTTTCATAGTTTCTTTAATCAAGCTTTATTCAAGTTTACAAATACGCGGGTATTGCCTGAAATGGCAAACTTGTTTTCCTGTAGTGAAAGCAGGCTCTGGTTGCGTTAGAGGAAATTCAAAAAGAGATTTTCATAATGGAATAGTTTCTTCTATTCAAATAGAGTCTAAAAACATTGAGTTTTATTTTGGTTTAGATCAATTTGAGAAAATATTGAGCATTTCACTTTTTGTTCGTTTTCGTTTGTATCTTTTTTAACGTTATAGTTACTTTATTTCTATTTTTAAACATAAGAACATTGTGTTTTATTATAGTTTTCCTTCCTACATATATCTGCCTTACTTTGAGAATGCTTGGAAGCCCCAGCTCTCTTATGTGTTTCTTGCCATCTTGAGTCATGACTAGTAGTAAGTGATCTATAGATGGACGAAAAAGGCGAAAAGAAAAAAACAAGTAAACACATTACAGACGACCCGAAAATAGTCCAGTGCAGCAACACTTAACTTTCTCTACAGGGTTTCACACCTTCGGGAATCAGGATTGTAATACACACTGGCTCCCACTTCTTGTTTCACATTTTTCAACTGCTTTATATGCTGGATCAGAGCGCCCTAAAAAAGTAAAGATTGTGAACTTAGTTGTGCATAAATTTAGTTGCTCAGCAAGTGCAATATAGCAATGTTAATGGTTACAAGCAACTACATTAACAAACTTACTATACTTAGCCCAGTCAAATGGTGATTTTTCCAAAACAAAATTGCGGAAGTTTTTTTCTCAACGGTTTTATATGTTTTCGAGGGTGCTGAATCTAAATTTATGGTTTGCTGCCTTATAGGAGATCGGCTTCATAGCCAAAAACGCAAAAATCGGTATTTTTCAGCACTTTTTTTAGTTGTTTACTTATATCTTAAAAACTACACGTTTTTTGAAGATGCGCGTTCTACACAAAATTAAAGTAAACAAAATTTTCTACAAAATGCACTAGTGCACTTTGATTTTGTGTTAAGCTCAGTGAAACACAATATTTTTTTTTCATTTTCACACAAACGTCTAAAACGCCCACTTTCATCTCTTGTAACGCAAAAGATATCTGGCATATTAAATCTTCTCACAAAGTTTTGTATGAAAAACATTAATATATTTACAAATTATTAGTTAGTTACATTATACTCAAAATAAAGCAAACGAAATCATTGAAATATGTGCCCAGGATCATCATTCCTTTGAGTGATCTGACGTCATAGCCGCAGTTAATTTGTACGTTTCCGTTTTGTTTTGCGTCGTCAACTAGAACTCCCAGGTAAAGGGTCTTGGGCAATCGAAAGTCCAAACAAAAAGTCAGGAGCTATGGAAGGTCCAGGCTGAATACTAAATTGTGACTGTTCTTCCACTTAAAAAATATTACATTGAAAAGTGATAGACGCGCATTAGGTCCTCTTCTACGTTGAATTAAGTTTTTGTTGATTACTTGTTTATTCCTCGATTCGAAAGAGGTGGTACTGGGCGCTTTTGTAAAAATTCAAAAAATCGTGGTTTTTTAACAAACTCTAGCGCGGGTACCGCTTATCGCAAAGCTAAATAATGTATTTTGTAGGAAATTTTATCTACTTTAATTTTGTATAGGGCGCCCATCTTCAAAAAAACGTATGTTTTTGAGATATGAGCAAAAAACTGAAAAAAGTATTGAAAAATTCCAATTTTTTGCGTATTTCGGTATGAATCCGACTTCCTACAAGGCAGCAAACAATAAATTCGGATGCAGCACATTCGATAACATATAAAACCGTTGATAAAAAAACTTCCGCAATTTTCTTCCGAAAACGGCAGTTTTAAACACGCATTTACTGGACTAACTTCTGTAACATATTAGAATCATAATAATTTACTTGAATTTTGAGGTTAAGAAGTGGTAACTCACACTGCACGTATATTTATTGTTACTTGGGTGGGAGGCAGTTTCTCCAGAGACGGGTTTTTGCTACAAAATATTTCTATCTATCCTGCGTTAACAAACTCTATGGCACTAGTCTCTACAGCATGAATGTCTTGTGTTCCGCTGCAGGAGACCGAAAGTCTCAGGTTCGACCAGTTTTCCATGCGTTAACGAGTTCCGAAATGACCTCTTCAATTAACTGCTTGGAATTCCAACGACGATGTAACTGAAGGCTTTCTGCATATAAGACATAATCTATTTGAAATGGTGAGCACAACTTACATCTCACAGCTTCCAACCAATCGAGAGATTTGTAGTTGCGTTGTATGGTAGGTACTACTGGTGCACTGGATTTGTAAATGAATCCAGGATAGAAATATTATAATAATAATAATAACGTTTATTGCGTACAGAAAATATACACAAAAGGAGGAAATTCGGTAAAAACCGTTCTTCCATTTCCCCTTAAAATAAAAGTTTACATTTTCTCGTTCCTAAATTGCGGAGGTATATAACTACAATAAGTAGGTAGGTATACATCTAAAATATAAATCATACAAAAAGTGTAACATGGTTAATTGAAAAATAACAGTATGCAAAAACAAAAATTGGACTACAAAAATTAATCCTCATAATAATAATAATAATAATAACTACATTTCCTTCCAGGTGAGATTTCTAACGAATTCTTTACTGAATTTTTTGAAAGTCGACGGTGGCATTTCAATTTTACTTAATACTAAATTTAAGAGATATGATGCTAAATACTCAAACGACCCTTCATATTTTACGGTTGCATGTTGTGGAAGTGTAAAGCTATTTATTCTTATATTAATATTGTGCATTTCTGATCTTCTTATTAACAAATTATATAAGTATGGTGGTTCTTGAGTATGATAAATCTTATGTAATATGACTAAGCTTAAGTAAGTAATTCTTTCAAACATGGTATGTTCATTAAGCATAACCAAAAAAGGTGTAACGTGATGACGATAAGGTATATTACAAACAAA